TGCCATTCCGACTGAAACAGATTTAGGGAAGCTCTGGGGGAGGGGAAGTCTTCTCTAAGGGACATGGGAGGGAAAGCATTGGGAGAAAGAGAGATGGTGGCTCACAAGAACGGAGTGCAGATGTCATATGAGATATTCCACTAACTTGTCACCCTGCAGTGTGGTGACTGGGGAATGCACTCTTGAGAATGGCTCCTGTCAGTGCAAGGACCTTCAAAACTGCTGGCTACACAAAATCGATGCCCAGTAGCGGTATCATGGAGTATGTGAGCTAAAACACCAACAATACCTCTACATTACATACCTTGGTAATACACCCATGGTTAATATCATTGTATTCACAAAGAGGAGAAAATCACAGCATAGACTAGGGGAAAAATAATCACATATCACTTAAACCTTCAGACAACTTAAACCTTCAGAGAAAATGGATTCCTAGGTGTATTATTTTACTCCAGTATCATATAGGTGATTGATTCGATTAGATCCCTACAACCTTCAATGAGATAAATGAACACTAGACGTAGGATAACACATCATTCATGACACACCCATATCCAGATGTTAAAACACACTAGGTTTTATTAATGAAAATATATCAAGTTCACACAAACACTAAGTTATGCATTTCAAATCCACTCTATTGTCACCATTCGAAATATGGAATACACATGTGCAAAAGCATTCGAGTGTTTTCAGAAGGATATGGAGTACCTATTTCCAAAAATTTCAGGACTGAGGTACATTCCTCAGAAATGTGTATGTTCAATGGTATGGCGTTGTAAAGAAGAGTTAGCTACCCTCCTGCAGTCATCTGTCAGGGTTTCCTCATTTAACCACATCAAGTCATACTCTCTAACAATTGCACTTAGGAAGATACATTGGTAGTTTACTGACCGGCTACCTCTTTTTCCTTAAAGAACAATCAGGAAAACCTCTTATTTCTAATATTGAGGAAGTTATTTAGTTTCAATGCATGCAGAAGTGTGTGCTCCAAACACCTATCCCATGGAATCTTACATCAATGTTATAACCGTAAGCATCATCTCCACTGAGATATACTTCATCTGGTTTTATATCATACAGTCATCTTCCATGGAAAATTAGGTACACATGAGTCCCACTTAATGGAGCAGGACATCTAATTTGATGTAGCAACAATCAACCACATGGTCTTACACACCCACAAGGAAAGGAAGAATTTTCTGGAGTGATTTCAGAGGAAATACATTAATACTGTTAGTCACAAATCTCAAATAGGGTTAATGTAAAAAATTTAAAAATACTGAAATCCTTACATATATGAAAAACTCAATCCACTAAATCTGTTGAAACAGAGTACCACATACATTTTCTAAGTGTTTAAGTTTGATTTTTCCTTATAATCACTATTTTCATAGAGAGTAATGTTTGAATAGAGTGAATAATGTATTCCATTGGCTTGATTTCTTTAACATTTATTGGCACGTGATGTTCAATTAAATAGTTTTCTAAACACTGCTAATTTTCTATTGACTTTCCTTAATGCCCTCCCTGGTGTGTGCTCCAATGTATACTAAAATGAAAATCTTTCCACATTCACGATGTTCCAAGGGTTTGAATCTACTATGCATTTTGAGATATTGACTAAGCACTGAATTCCAGTTACAGGCTTGGCCATGTTCTTTACATTTCACACTTTCACTCCTGTATGAAAACAACGATGTGAAGAAAGTTGGGAGTCCCACTGAGAGGTCAGACACATTCTTAGTATTTGTACACTTACTCTCCTATATAAAATCTCTCATAGGCAGTGAGGAGGGAGCAGTCCTTAGGCACTCTCTCACATTCATTACATCCGTAATTTTCTCTGCAGGGTGAATTCTGTGATGTGCAGTAAGGGTTGTGTGCCTGCTAGAGGTTTGGCCACATTATTCATCTGGTGTCTTTCCAGTATGAATTCTCTGTTTAGAAGGCATGCATGCTGGATAAAGGCCTTGCCACACTGGTTATATTTGTGAGGTTATGGTCCAATATGAATTCTCATAGGCATGAATGAGTGAGCACTCCTTAACCGATTTTTCTCACATTCTTTTTTTCTTTCTTTCTTAAAGATTTTATTTACTTATTTGACAGAGAGAGGGAGAGAGAGCACAAGTAGTGAGGAGGGTCAGGCATGGGGAGAGGGAGAAGCATGCTGCCTGCTGAGCAGGGAGCCCAATACAGAGCTCAATCCTGGGACCCTGGGATCATAACCTGAGCCTAAATGAGCGCCCTAACTGACTGAGCCACACAGGTGCCCCTCTTATTACATTCTGTACACCGGTAAGCTTTCTATCTAGTATGGATATTATGATGTTTAATGAGGACGGAATGCCTGTAAAGGCCTAATGCCATTCTTGACGTTGGTAAGGTTTCTCTCCAGGATGGATCCTGTGATGCTGAGTCAGGGCTAAGCTGTCCTTAAAGGCCTTGCCACATTCATGGCTTGTTAAGGTTTCTCTCCAGTATGAGTTCTGTGATGTCGAATAAGGCCTGAGCTCCGGTTAAAGCTCTTGCCACATTCCTGACACTGGTAAGGTTTCTCTCCAGTATGAATTCTGTGATGTCGTATAAGGGTTGAGCTGTGGTTAAAGGCCTTGCCACATTCTTGACATTGGTAAGATTTCTTTCCATTATGAATTCCCTGATTTTGAGTAAGCCTTGAGCACCAGTTAATGGCCTTGCCACATTCTTGGTATTTATAGTGTTTCATTCTGGTATGGGTTCTGCTATGTTTACTGAGGTGTGAGTGCACATTAAAGGCCTTGCCACATTCCTGACATTGGTATGCCAGTATGAATTCTATGATGTCGAGTAAGGTGTGAAAGGCAGTTAAAGGCCTTGCCACATTCTTGACATTGGTAAGGTTTTTCTCCACTATGAATTCTGTAATGCTCAGTAAGACTTGACCTCCAGATAAAGGCCTTGCCACATTCGTGACATTTGTAAGGTATCTCTCCACTATGAATTCTGTGATGTTGAATAAGGGCTGAGCTCCAGTTAAAGCTCTTGCCACATTCGTGACATTGGTAAGGTTTCTCTCCACTATGAATTCTGTGATGTCGAGTAAGGATTGAGCTGTGGTTAAAGGCCTTGCCACATTCTTGACATTGGTATGGTTTCTCTCCAGTATGAATTCTGTGATGTTGAGTAAGGGTTGACCTGTCATAAAAGGCCTTGCCACATTCTTGACATTCATAAGTTTTCTTGGCATTATGAATTCCCTGATGTTCAGTAAGCCCTGAGCACAAATTAAAGGACTTGCCACATTCTTGGTATTTATAGAGTTTCTCTATACTATGAATTTTGCAATGTCGAGTGAGGTGAGAGTGCATATTAAAGGCCTTCCCACATTCTTGACATTGGTAAGGTTTCTCTCCAGTATGAATTCTGTGATGTTGAGTGAGGTGTGAAGGATGTTTAAAGGCCTTGCCACATTCTTGACACTGGTAAGGTTTTTTTCCACAATGAATTTTGCAATGTTGAGTAAGTTCTGAGAATGATTTAAAGGCTTTGGCACATTCATTACAGTTGTAATTTTTCCCTGCAATGTGAATTCGTTTATCTCTATTAAGACTTGAGTGATCGTTAAAAGCCTTGCCACATTCTTGACATTTGTAAGGTTTCTCTCCAGAATAGATCTGCAAGTGACCATTTATTGATGAACAGTCCTTTAAGGTTTGACCACCTTCTTCACATTTGTATACTTTTCCTCCAGTATGCATTTGCTGATGTTGAGATAGTGTTGAGTGGCAGTCAAAGGATTTACCACATTCCTTAAAGATGTAAGCTTCCTCTCCCTGAGGGATTATCTCATTGATGTTTAGGCTTGGTGACTGAGTAAACATGGTCCCTGGTTTACTAGATGTGAATGGGCTTTTTCCCTCATGAATTCTCTGATGATCACCAACACTGGAGGACTGGTTACAAGCTTTCCCACATTCATTATCTTTATGAAGACAGTCTCCTGAAGGGAGTATACTGAGGTTAGAGCTTGGATAAAAGCCTTGCTCACATTTATCACATTCGTAATGGTTCTCTGCAAACCTAGCCCTGACACATCGGTGAACACTGGAGCCCTGGTTCAATGTTTTCTGAGATTCAGTGCATTGAGCAAATCTGTCTCCAGTGAAAAGCCTCTGGTCATTCTGGAGGATCGACTCCTCGGTGAAGCCCCTCTCGAATGGATCCCACTGAGCACTTTGTTCTTCATTTCTAAATCTCTGATTTAAGGTCAGGCCAGTCCAATCTTCCAAATGGCTCAAATCATTATTCTCAGCATGGACTAGGTTACTTTTCAGATGTTCCAAATGGTCTGTCCACAAATAGCTATGTTTGAATATCTGATCAGAGCTTGTGCTGACAGAAACACACTGCTCTGCAGAAACAGTTGACTTAAAAAGGAAGGTTTTCCACAGTGGTTTATATCCTTCACCATTTGGGGCAGTGAGATTCTCATTAAGGGCAATTGCCTTGGTTTGGGTGTGTCGCCCAGAATTTCTTTGATGCCCTTCTCTCTCCCCATCATTGTCCCAGTCTGTGCGTAAGTGTAAAACCTCAACAGCACTATGTTTGTATCTGTGCATTGATACCTTCTGGAAAGAACCTTCTATGCTCCACTTTAGCAGGAAACTCTGGGTGTCATGTGACGATACAGCTGAAAGATACCAAATAAGAGTAAAACCATTGCACTTACTACATTCAGAAGAATATACTGATGACTTCCAATACAGAAGCATCAAGTCAATCAAAGTCAGAAAGATGGCTGAGAAGGAGTCATCAGGACCTCATTTCTCCATGGATGCACAACATGGCACACAACGTACTGAGCACAGAGTCTAATAGAGAATTCTGCGATATGGTCATGGTGTAGCACAAATCACTTTCCTGTATCTCTAACAATCAGGAAAAGGGTCACATGAGCTCAAAATTAGGATAAGAATAGAGGATATAGAAACAGAAGACTGAACTGAACCAAACAGGGTACAGTAAAAATAGGAACATATCAAGCACAGGAAGAGTTGTTTGGCAGAAAAGATCAACGATGCTGACAGCCCATGAACTAAATTAAGAATAACACAAAGAAGACCAACTAAAATGACAGGTGAAGAAGTGAAAGCAGACACAGTGTAACTGACTGTAGGAATAAAAGTAATTATAAGAGGCAACAATGGATAATCAGTGTCCACAAATTGTTAATAAGAGACAAGTATACATTTCAAAAAAGGTATAACCAATTTAGACTCCATCACTCAGAAAAGTAGAAAAAAAATCTCAGCTGATCTGCAAACATGAAGCTGAAAGAAAGGGGAATAAAATTAAAAAGCCCAACAAACAAAAACTGTGTGCCAGATGAGTTCACTGGATATTCAAACAGACACTGAAGGAGAAAGGACTGCAAATCTCCTCAAACATTTCCAAGGAGTGATGATCAGAGAAACTAGCAGAACACGCGCTCTGTGGCACCAGCATTCCCAGCTCATGCAAGCCAGACGAAGACACTACAAAGAACGAAGTTTGCAAAACTCTACCTGTGACACATACTCACTCAAAGTCCACAATAAAATAGAGGAAACTGAATCAAAAGCACATTTTCCCTTTTTACAAGATGATCAAGTGGGAAACGGACCTGGAATTAAGGGCGCTCCAACATACAGAAAACCATAAATTCAAGACTCCACATTAACAGAACGAAGGGCAAAAATGACATGATCACATTAAGAGAGACAGAATACAAATATGGTCATACTGGACAACATGTCATGATAAAAATACTCAAAGGAGAGACAGAAGGAAACCCCAACCTAATGAATGCCACAAATACATGAAAAGCTGAAACCTATTCAGGAGGGACAGTCTGCAAGCTTCTCCTCTCTCATCACTGCCCACCACTGCCTTTGAGCATAGTACTAGATTCTCTATTCAGAACAATTATGCAAACAAAAATAGAGTAAAGGAATCTAAACTGAAAAAGAAACAGTAAAACTCATTTTTCACATGGGACATGATTACTGAAATCCCTCAAGATCATCATTTTAATTTTTTTTACTGTTTTTGGTCATTGTTCATATTGTTTATTTCTGCTGGTTTTTCCCTACTAGACTTCCCATTTCCCAAGTTTTTCATGTTATACAATACAGAGTTAACAAAAATGTTGGAATAAACAATTTCCACCAGAAGAACTAAAAAAGGAAGAGACTAGGATGAAACTTAGTAGAGGGATGATACAAAGAAAAGTGTGAAATAAATAAAGTAGAAGATTAGCATTAACGGAACACAGAAAGTAATGCCCATTTCAATCAATAAAACAAAACTGGCAATGCTTTAACTCCACAAACCATTACATAATAACAAATGGGGAAATTTATTTTTTTAAGATTTAATTTATTTATTTGACAGGCAGAGATCACAAGTGCACAGAGAGGCAGGCAGAAAGAGAGAAGCAAGCTCCCCACTGAGCAGAGAGCCCGATGCAGGGCTTGATCCATCATGACCTGAGCTGAAGGCAGAGGCTTTAACCCACTGAGCTTCCCAGCACCCCCAACTAGGGAAATTTATGAAAAAACAAAAACAAAAACAAAACAAAACAGAGAATTCCTAAAATTAGACAAGTTATTAAGACTGATTTCCTAACCATGAACCAAAGAAATGGGACATCTCCTGAGATCAGTAAGAAGGATGAAAATCGAATTTGGAATCAATACTCTAGTAGCACAGACAGAAAAGCCCAAGACCTAGGAATTTTACTACAACTGATGGGGTCAATGAATTCCCTAAATGCAATCCTGTGTTGCATGATTCTTCTCCCTCTCTTGTTGAGATTCAGTATTACTTCATTTGCTTTTGATATGACAAAGTCATTCTTCTGCTTCTTCCAGCCTGTCCTCTACATCAAACCTGTTTCTAATCTCACTTACTGCATTGTTAATCTATGTTTCATTTTTAAAAAGACATATATTTGAGGGGGGGAATCACAAGATTTCAGGTGGGAGCTACAGAGAGAGGGAATCACATGCAGGCATCACACTGAATACACAGTGTGATTTGAGCCTACATCCCAGGACCCTGAGATCAAGATCTGAGCAGAAATCAAGAATCAGTACTTACCCAAGTGAACCACCAAACACCCAATTATTTTTTAACTCTTATCTCTGTGGTAAAGTTCTCACTATTGTTTTCCCAATTCCTTGAGTATCCTTATGATTGTGACCTTAAATTCTCCATCAAGCTCCTTACTACTGTTTCCACTGGATCTCTGGCCTTGGTCTTATCTGCTGGTTTTCTTTGGGATAAATTCTTTCATCTTGGCATTTGTCTAACTCTCTACTTTCCTCTGTCCATTAGAAAAGTCAGTGATGTGTCCTGTTGTGTCCTTCAGACCAGTTGTCTGCAGGGGCTCTCCTTGCCTGCTACGGGCAGTGTGTGGTCCCTGGCCTGAATGTGGCCAGTTTGAACTAGGTCAGCTCTGCTCTGGTTGTGAAAGGAGACCTGATGTCAACTCCACTAGGACTGCAGCCCAGTAGAACCTTTGCTCAGGAGACGTGATGTGGGCAGGGGCTGACCTTGCTGAGCCTGAGGCAAGTCTCACTGAGAAGCGCTGTCCCCTCAGATCACAGGGGGTGGGGCCTGGTGCAAGAAAGGCAGACAGCCAGTGTCCTCATTGAGTGGGGCTCAGTCTCTATGCTACAGGACAGGAGAGGGCTCCCATGTTTTGGAAGCCACATGTCACTGAATGTTTCCTCTCAGAAATGTGTTCCTAGACTACTGAATACTCTCCCCACTGTGCACCCCAGGTGTTCTTCAGATGACTGTTTCCACGCTTGGTGCCCACAGGTTGTTTGCCAACCTTCTGTCCGGGAGCACCCCAGTGCCCTCCTGGTTCTATCCCATCCAAACCTGATGACCATTAAACCTCCAGGCTTTAAGATGTGCTGGTTCCAAGAACTCATGAAATTCAGCCCTTCTCCCTTTCCAAGCCAATGGCTTTGGGGAAACCTCCTTATGCATCCCCTGAGTGCTCCCCTCTCATGACACCTACTGCATAGCCAGGGATCTCTGCCCTCCACAATGCTATACTCCTCTCCTCCCTAAACCATGTCTCCACACTATCTGCCATCTTCCATGTGGCCTCTTCTGCCTCTTACTTGGAGGGTTTTTCCTGTCACTCTTCAGCCCAATGGGGCATTTAGGATGACCTGACGGTTATCTAGTGGTGCTCATGACAGGACACACGAGTCTAGGGTCCTCCTACTCCACTGCCCTTGCTTCTCCTGTGAATCTTTATTGTTTTAATCCTGTTAAAACTCATATGGATTTTATAAATCTGGTATGCAAACCAACACATAAAACTTAATTTGTTGGGGCGCCTGGGTGGCTCAGTGGGTTTAGCCTCTGCCTTCGGCTCAGGTCATGATCCCAAGGTCCTGGGATCGAGGCCCGCATTGGGCTCTCTGCTCAGCATGGAGCCTGATTCCCCCTCTCTCTCTGCCTACCCCTCTGCCTACTTGTGATCTCCATCTGTCAAATAAATAAAATCTAAAAAAAAAAAACAAAAACAAAAACAAAAAAAAAGCTTAATTTGTTTCTACACAACAAAGAACAACTCCCAAACAGAGACACCATACATTTAGAGCAAACCCCCTCCCCCCACAAAATGCTTCCAATTTAACATAATGGTAGAGGTCAAACCAGAAACAATGAAAAGTGTAATATACTGTGCTGGATTCAAAGAATGAATAACTAGGAAACGCATCCATGTTCTTTCACTGGAATAACTGAAACACAATAAATCTTGAAGTTACCTACAGAAAATGCAATCTCTACCGAAACTCCAATGTCATTTTTGCACAAAGATCAAAATCCATCCTAACATGTGATGTCATGGGATAATCCATACCCAAAATAATCTGGGAAGTGAAGAGCACATATCCTGATTTATGGCATATGAAGCACAGATATCAAACTAATGTCCTACAGACATGATGTCAGGCGTAGAATAATGGAAGAGTCTGGCTGAGCTAGACGTGTACTGCTCCAATGTTAATGTGTATGTCAATGAACTGAAGATCCTATTAAAATTCATATTCTGATTTGGATGTTTGGGTGAGGTCGGAGTTTCTACTTTTCACAAATGTGCCACTGATGTCTTACATCGACAATACATGCTTCCCACAGAATTCCAGGACTGAATCATCATGAAGAATTTCGAAGGTTCCTAAAAAGCAGGAAGAGCATAGAGGTGAGCATGGAGTCCTTTGGTTCCCTTCACTCTTCATTCAAGCCAATGCTACCCCTATAAAATTTTCTCTGGACCTCCTCTTATTTTTCTTTCTTCAATTCACCACACCACTGTATTCATGGAAATAGCTCCCTCTTTCATGAGAAATGCAGGTGCAATCTGCTTCTGGCTGCAACCCTGGATTTTGTAGCTTGGACCCCACTGCATCTGTGGTCTTTATCAATTTCAAGTTTCCCCTGCATTTTTTCCTATTACTCATGGCTTCAGGCTACAGGATCACTTCTTTCCACCTAGGCTTCCTCCTGAAAACTGACTTTGGTGGGGGGCCTGAGTGGCTCAGTGGGTTAA